TTTTTTTTTTTTTTTTTTTTTTTAAATGCCTTTTTTATTTTTTTTATTTTTCCCTTCTATCTAATAAGTTTTTTCCTTGTGTCACTTTAAAAAGTATTGAGTGTAACACATCAAACGCGCCAAGTTATGTGGTGTAATGTTTCAAAATTTTACATAAATGTTTATCAGGTGTTATCTATCAACCCGAGTTCAACCATATTAGGTGACTTATACCTAGTTTAAATTACCTTGTTGGCGCAGTTTGCTATAAATATTTCGTACGTGTATTCAGTGTATTCACGGGGAATGGGGGATTCATGGATTCATGGGTATATTCATGGTTATAAACAACTTTTATAAGCAACTTTTATAAACCTTTTATAAAAAACTTTATAAAAAACTTTATATAAACAAACTTTATAAACAACTTTATGACTAATACTTATAACAAACTTTATAAACAATTTATAACCAATACATTGCAATACATTTTAAACCCTTAAAAAAAAAGGTCCTGTATAAAATTTCCAAAATTGTTTAACATTGATAAAAAAAAGTCATGATCTCACGCGAAACAAGTTTTTATTTATACATACTTCAGATAGCATCATATATATACTATATATGCTTCACAAAAAAAAAATATTTGTTTTAAATAAAGTAAACAATAATTTAAGGTTGTCAAAAACCAGTTAATACCGGAAAAAAATAATAATTAATTTTTAATTATAAAATTACCATATTATCGTTTTTCCAAAGAAACGTTCCAAAAGATTAAAAGGAAACTAGTTTGAGTAACTTTGAAATTAAAGTTATTTATTATAATCTTTTTTAAGTGAGTGTACATACTTTATAGTCTACAATAACAAACGTGAGTGAGTAACACACATTTTACACATTTACTTGACACATTTACATTTTTACCATATTTTTACAATATTTACACTATTATTGACATACTTTTATACTTTTTTATACTTTTTTATACTCTTTTATATTTTTTTATACTTTTTTATACTCTTTATATTTTTTTATACTTTTTTTATACTCTTTTAAATATTTTTAATTCATTATTTATATATTTACAAAATTTCAAATTGTAATATTTACCTTTTTTAGCCTTATTTGTTAGTCGAGATCATAATAATCATAATATGAAATATTATAATCACGTCATCAATTTATGTTACGTAATTTATCAATCTTATACTATCAATCAACAATAGCTACAGACCCGTATATATTGAATTCAAAAAAAAAATATTATTATTTATTATCACTATTACTATTATTGAAAAAAAAAACGTATGATATTCTATTAACCCATTTCTGTAACAAATGAAAACTATTATTTGTTTTTCTCAGAGTATTTTAACTAAATTATTTCAAGGGACAATATAGTAAATGTATAATCATACCATATTTATCTAAATAATAATTATTGTCTATATTGTTTGATCCCTCATGCGAGTTTCAAAAAAGAAAATCGATTTAAAATATGTATTATTGTTGTTAGGAAAGAAAGAAATTCGGTGAAACTAATCTTAATAAGGGTTGTTTCAAGGGTTTTAAAGTGTAAGTTATGAAATGCAACGTTTATCTTTTTATATTTGACAGTAAACAAAAATTCACCACATGCCCAAGGATTTCTTGAAGGCTGTTTCAAAAAAACTTTTTTTTTTTTTTTCGTTGTTTAAAAAAAGAAATTATTTTATTTTTATTTTTATTTATTTTTTTTGGGCGTGCTTGCTTACGCCCAAAATTTTTTTTACCGTAACTTTAATCGAATATTTATTAGAATTAATTGGAAAGAGTTTAATCAATAAATAACGTATGTAATAACAATTTTCTCGGTAATTAATCCAATCATTAATTAAAAAAACTATAAAACTATAAAAAAACCTGTAACGTTACGTTACGAATATTTGGTACATGGAAATCTTTACACGACATATAAACCAAATTATTTTGGTATGGGTTTTTAAATGGTTTTAAAATAAGTTTACAATTGTTACCTTTAAATTGATGGCTTAAAAAACTTAATTTGGGAACTTTTTTTTTTTGCGGCTTTGCAGGCACAAAAAAAAAAAAAA